TGTAGGTGTGTGTGTGCGTATAGATATATTGAATTCTTTATATGTATGTGTAAATTATATATGGTGTAGTGGTGTGTATTTTGATGAGATTTCCTACCAATTTAATGCATCTTAATAACAAAGCAATACACACATACATACATACATACATACATACATACGTGTATATACAAAAAACATTGCCTAACTGACTTCGGCTTCATTTTCCACTACGTTATTAGCACTTGAGTTGCTTAGAAATATTTCTTATTTTAATTTAGAAATTTTTGAATAAATATTCTTGTTTATTTATTTATTCATTTTCATTTCTCATTTTTATTTTACATTTTTATTACTTCAATATTTACAAAAGTTCATTAAATTAGTTTTCCGTTCATTGCTGCAGTTAAATTTGCCTAGAATGTATTATTATACAATAGTTATGATAGTTTTTGCTATTGTTGTGTGTTTTTTGTTGTTTGGAGTCTTCGCACTAAACTCCGCAGTGGTGTTTTGTGTATTGAAATTATATTTAAGTTAAATTCATTCTGAAGGAGGAGGTTTACAAAAGTTGAAGTGCACCCTCCACCTACATATACCCATACACATACTCTTATTCACGCTCACAAGCGTACTGAAACTCATAATCACTTTTTTCCTCATACCAGTATGTAGACTCACTTTCAAGTGTTCTTTGCTCCCTTCTTGTTCTTATTGATGTACGGTTGAGTGGTTCGCCTGTTCAATATCCACTCAGTACTGAGTTGCTGAGTTTCGTACGACAAACTTTTCGTTTTTCAATTTCATGCACAAATGCTTTTTCGAATGCTTCAGGTGATATCGAAAACTCGTTTCTCTATTGGCACTCAAAATTTTTGTGAAAAACTTAAGATTTACATTCATGCGTAGGTGTAGCAAAATTTCCAAAAAAAATGTACATATTAAAAGTAATTTTCAATACCTAATATTGGAATATGGAAGGATGCTAACATGTGTGGTGGTGAAAAATTTTAGAAAGAAGAAAAATTAATAATTCAATAATTGAATGAATATTTTTGTTCAATTTTAAATTTATTTACTTTTGTCTAACAAAATTATAATTATTTTTATTTAAAGTAACATTACAATTTTCTACAAAAATATTTTATAGAAGCCCGTTGTATGAAATCCCAGCAACTTTTTCTTGAAATCGCTTGCGGTTTCTCAGAACAAGCTGTGCGAAAGATAACAAAAATTTGGTTTATTCAAAGAAAAAAAAAACAGCAGTTAAGGATGCGCTGAGAAACTCCTAACTCAACCATCCTAATTATTTTTTAATATACTTTTGCTCTGCTGCTTATTATACGTTAACCGTCAATCGATGCCATCCAGTAGCCGCATAGGTAAGAAGCAGAAAGTTTTGGTTCTCTTCATAGTTCTTGAGAGAGCTTAAGCGAATGGAGGAAAGAGGAAAAAAATATTGACGACTTTTCTTCCTCTTACGGGTACAGAGCACCTACAATATTTTACCTTAGATATATATATATATATAGAGCTCCCTCTAGAGATAGGATGAGTACTGAGTCTGCAGTTAAATTGTATATTTAGAGAGCAAGAGGTAGTGTTTATTAATGTACCTTTACTTACTTACTTTCCTGGCGTAAACCACTTAGCCGATTTAACTACATGGCGCTATTCGTTTCTTCTTTTTGCTGTTAGGCGCCAATTGGAAATACCAATTACAGCGAGGTCATTCTCTACCAGGTCATTCTAACGGAGTGGAGGTCATCCCCATACATCCCGACTACATGACCCGTATAACTTATACAGCTTATCGTTCCACCGTCTGCGGTATTCGCGATGCCAACGCGCAAAGGACCATAAATCTTACGCGAGGATGAGAGGAACTTGTAGAGTTTGGTTTTCGTTCGTCGGGAGAGGACTTTATTCTTCAATTGCCTGCTCAGTGCAAGGTAGCACCTGTTAGTAAGAATGATTCTGCGCTGAATTTCAATGCTGACATTGTTGGGTGGTAATACTAGTTCTAATATAGACGAAATTATCTAAAACCTCAAGGTTATGACTGTCAACAGTGACGTGGGAGCCAAGTCGCGAATGCTGAAGACTGTTTGCTTGATGGCAGGAGATGACTCGTCTTCCCATTCGCTTCGCTTCCTTATCCAGTCTGAAGTAGTTGTACACTCTTATAGAAGATTGTACCTTTTTATTCAGCTCTGCAGCTCTTGCTATTCTCTCCAGCATTAAATTGAAGAAATCACACTACAAAGAGTCACCCTGTCTGAAACCTCGTTTGGTATGGAACGGCTCGGAGAGGTCTTTCCCAACTCTGACCGCGATTCTGGTGTTGTCTTGCGTCATTTTACACAGCCATATAAGTTTTGCGGGGATACCAAATTCAGACCCAGCGGTGTAAAGGCAGCTCCTATTCGTGCTGTCGAAGGCGGCTTTAAAATCGACGAAGAGATGTTTGTCGATCCTCTTTTCACGGGTCTTTTTCCAACATTTGGCGCATGGTGAATATCTGAATATCTATATATCTAGGGCTTTCCAAATAAGAGTTGTCGCTTTTTTGACATTTGACAAGCTTCAACAACGCATTGATTATTAAAATTCACTCTAAAACTTTCTTCGAAAAATCATTTTGACTGATGAGGCTCATTTTTATTTTGATGATTAGCGGAAAACCCAAACTTTAATGAGGGAAAACATCTCCATCCGCCTCGTGTAACTGTTTGGTATGATTTATTGTTCAGTCATTGGACCTTAGTTTTTCGAAAATGTATGGGTTGCGCTATTAAGAGATGATTAATGATTTTTAATTGCCAGAATAGGATCTTATTGATCTGAAGAACGTTCACTTTCAACAAGATGGTGCTACGTGCAGCACAAGCTACGAAACCACCGCTCTTTTATGGGGAACATTTCCTTGAGTATCAAAAAACCTAACTCTTATTGGGAAAACTGTATACAGATAAGGAAAGAAAATACGATTTTTTTTAAGAAATAAATAACCAAATACAGAAGGGAATGGTTAAAAACATACTCATACATCATACTGCCTTTGCCTTGTTTCCACAATTTCTTTCAGAATTACCTTCGCATCTTACAAAGTTAAGAAGATTTTTACTTTTATACCAAATATCCCAGACCACTCAACGTTTATATTAAGTGAAAAGTTCGCTCGGTTTTTATTGATTTTTCAAACTAAAATAACTTTGTGTAAATTTGTCCGATTTAAACCAAAAATATTCCGTTCTGATCGCAAACTTGCTGCCAAGGCAACTTCATTTTGTCCTTCTCGTAGGCGGCTGCGTTCCTATGGTAATCACTTGGTGCCAGGTCCTATGCATTAGGACCTCCCATCCCAGCTCCTGGAGCTTCTGTCGCGTTACTAAAAACGTGTGTGGCCTGGTGTTGCCCTGATGGATCACAATTCGTCCTCTGTTGATCAAAGATGGCCTCTTCTGGATGACCGAATTGAGCGTTTGGCCATAGGAAAGCAGCTCGTAGTAGATGATTCCTTGCCAATCCCACCAAACACAAAGCAAAGTCTTCCTGGCCGTCAATCCGGTCTTGGCCACCGTCAGGGCCGTTTCCTCGAGCTTTGACCATGACCGTTTGCGCTCGATGTTGTCGTAAGTGACCCATTTTTCATTGCCAGTCACAATCCGCTTCAGAAACGGGTCAATTTTATTGCGATTCGAAGAAAACTTGTAAACTATAGCGAATTTTCTCTTTGCTGGTGTCCATCTTTGACGAGCGCAATCTGTCGAAGACAAGCTTTTAGCTCATTTTCAGCACAGAAGAGTATGACATGTTGCGACACGCAACACTAGTATTATGGACAATAACGCCATTTCTTAGATAAAAACCGAACGAACTTTTTACTTTATCAATACTTTGAGAATTAGCTTAGACTTATTGAAATTGATTTCTGACGGACAAGAATAGACGACTATTCCACCAGTTTATCTGAGAGTAATTTAACAGTATACAAAATATCAAAAATTTGAAATTAGTGCAAGTCGAGGTGTTTTCTCTTGGGCGCCTTCAGTGCAAATCTGATTCAATATCAAATAATAAAATGGCCAGAGCGAAAGCCAGTCTGCAGTGTCTGCAATGGTTACAAGATTCATTAAGACAAGTCCGTATCAACTGCCAAGGCATCTTCATGCGCAAGGTTGCAGTGGGCTTCACTATCTGGAGTCATATATGATCTAGATTAGTATCAAGCGCCTGCGATCACTGTAGTTTGTGCCAGGCCATATAGTTTACTTTACAGCAATAGAATACTTAGATTAGGACAGGATAAATTTTTCGAAATTCGCTCACAGAACACATTGTCTTAAAGACGAACTGCAGAATAGACAAACTTGACAGGCAAGTCAAGAAATAACAAATTCGTCCTTACAAATATCGTCCTAAAAAGCAGTTCATTTGCGCAGATGCAAAATCAAGGGTAGAACAAATCTCGGGATATCGCGAGTTAAGGCAAATTTAGGCGCAGGCAATTAAAGTAAGGTTATATTGAGAAACCCAAGAAACCCTCATGTAAATACTCGTCTGCTTTAAGTTTTCATTTGAGAGTACAATTTCCTGTTTAGGTGTCCTCTTTCAGTCATAAATCAACACTTTTGTTCAACTCCAACGCAGTTAATTTTTGTTAACACAGAGCCCCTGCAAAGCAATCACTGTCACGAGTATTCCTGGAACCGTTTGGCAATCACACGGTTATAAATGCCGAGATTACATTTCACAAAGTATTCAATATCTCAGCCGGCGCACATTGTTGCCACCGAAAATGGCGAAAGTGGCGAAAAACGCCAAACACCAGACGCCAATTTCCATTTGCATTTCCAAGCAATCAAAAATTCATCAGCTTCAGCAACCAAACAACAGCCAAGAGTCATACCCAGATTTGCGTAAACTCATACACACACACTTACGCTCATTCACACATGCATGAGCTACTCTCCTACATCGTTTCTCATATATGTTGCCATTTTTTTGTTCTCTCGCAGATAAACCATTCTGGCGCTACACCAATTACACAGAACCGCAGTACGTGTACCCCAATGGAAGCGTGACCTTACCATGCGAGGCAATCGCTGAGCCGCCAGCCAATTTTACCTGGTACAAGAACAGCAATAAGAAACATTTACATAACGACAGACACTATACCATCCACACGGATTACTATGCGTCCACGTTGAAGATTCAAGCGCGCACCGAAAATGCTTACGACAAGTATCGTTGTGTGGCGGAAAACCAGTTGGGCGCCATTGAAAGAGTTATAACATTGAAACGGGGGGTTAAGCCACCACCGCCTAGCGTTTTGCAGTTGCGTGGATTCAATTCGAATAGGTTTGATGTGGATGTCGGTTCGGTGCGGCCTTCGCCGGCACGCGCTGCACCGGGTGATCAGTTGATGGAGGTGAGAGGTTTCCGTTTTGAGTACATGACGGAATATGAATTCAAATCGGATGGAGGCAAGTGGACGAATGCCAAGAGCAAGGAGTTTCCATTCGAAGATGGTGAGTAGATGGGGGCGGAGAAGTGGATTTCGAGAAGGGGATCAAGAATAACATAAAAAATGATAGAGGTAGAGATAGAGAGAAAGAGATAGAGAAATGGAAAGAGAGAGAGAGAAAGAGAATGAGAAAGCGAAAGCGAAAGCGAAATATAAAGACAAAGAGAAAAAAATATAGAAACATAAAGAGAAAAAGAAAGAAAAAGAGAAAGATAAAGACCGAAAGGTAGATCGAGTAATACGGAAATAGTGAGTGTAACAGATATATAATTATAATAATAAGAAACAGAATAAGGACAATGATAAACATAAGGATAAGGATAAGGATAAGGATAAGGATAAGGATAAGGATAAGGATAAGGATAAGGATAAGGATAAGGATAAGGATAAGGATAAGGATAAGGATAAGAATAAGGATAAGCATAAGGATAAGGATAAGGATAAGGATAAATATAAGGATAAGGATAAGGGTAAGGATAATTATAAGGCTAATGAGAGAGAAACGGGAAAACGGAGCAACAAAGTTTGCACAATTATATTATATTATGTTATGGATATAACAGGGGCTAATGAACTTTTTTTTATTTCGTTCTCAACCTACCAACTACTTTCGAAATCCAATTACAGGTGCAACATTTCTCATCAACAATCTCGAAGAGAACACCACCTACTTAATGCGCGCGGCAACTTGGAATGTAGCCGGCATTAGCGATTGGACAAGAGTGGAGAAATTCACCACACTCTCCAATGAGCCTAAATCATCATCGGCGCGTTTGGAACACTTGACTGCCGCACAGTTGTTGTGCATATCTTTGGTAGCTTTGTTGTTGTGTAAGGAATTAACATTTGGTTTTCAGCCCGTGGCTAGTATAACGAAATTACGCCGCCGTCCAGCTGGTGTGCGTTGGTGAAGCAATGCAATGTGAATCGAGCAATTGAGGAGCAGCGTAAGAATGAGTTTCATAATGCGTATTCTATTTGAGGCGATTAATGCTAATTAATGAAATAGTTTAAAATGCTGAATGTTTCGAAATATTTAAAAATATATATAATTTATTATAAGTGAGGAATTATGTAATAAATATGGAATTATATAGAAAAGGATAAATATTTAAGCCAAAGATTTAATTAAAAATAAATAAATTTAGTTTAGCAGTTTTAAAAGATCAGCTAAGTTAAGTTTATATAAAAAGATAAGAACAAGACATTAAAAATAAAATATTTGAATAATTAATCTTAGTTTTTTTTTTTAAATTAAAATCAAATTAATAGTAAATGAACAATAAAACAGCTTCAAACTAAGAATTATTATGAATTCAAATAAGTATCATTATTTCAGCGCCACAAGTAAATTGTGCGAGTATTGTTTTTATAAATAAATGCAAACGAATTCGGGTCAAAAATTTTAACCAATATTAATTTTTTTGAATATCAAAAATTGAAATCCATACAGCAGCTTTTTTGTTTGCAACGCATTGGCAACGCTAGAATGCTGCAACTACCCATCTCACGTCACCTTTCGTCCATAGCAATCGATGTTATGAGAGCGCCATGTAATAAGTGAAAAGTTGCCACGGCTCGTCGATGCTCTTACTGGCGGTTGTCTCGCAGAAAATACTCGTGTTTGTATATTCTATTACAGTCGGATGGCATGGCTGTGCGGTATGTAAGATGGGTAGTTTCAACCTAAGCCATGAGTAATATTATCATTATTTTAGTTATCTATAATTTTGAATAATATTCTTCAGCAATTAAAATTTGTTCATCGATGTTTTTTACAACTTTCTGTTTTCCTAAAACAAAATCTTCTTTTTTAAAATTACTTAAGCATGCCAATTATTATTATTATTATTGTTGAATATATTGCTTAACTAATGAGATTTTTCGAGGATGACTGAGAACGACAAATGCAGGTAATTAAGGGCATTTATCTTGACCCGATGAAGTCAGTCAGTTTAACCTAACCCTAGAGAGTGTGCGGTTTGTTTTATAATAACTCTGCGGGGAAAAGGTAGAGTAATGTGCTAGTTTTTGAAGGATAAACATATACCAGTTTCCATAGACTACAATTATACTAGTGTTTTCAGTTAAAATTTGGACTAGTTTACAAAAATTCTAGTATATGAACTAGTACTTTTCGGACAAATTCATACCAATTTGATGTTTTGCAGCAAAATCAGTACTCATAACTAACTGGAATCTCCGTACACACATTATTAAAAAAAAATTAACAGTCTTAAGGGGGAGACCTGGCTTAGAGGGTCAAAAAAATCGATTTTTTAAAACTTATCTCATTCGATTAGAAATATATTCAGAAATATTTCCACAAAATTTCAGAGTCAAATTACTAATCGTTCCGCAGAAATGGCCTGAGAGACAATGCGCTCAGGAGACTGATAAGCGGGCGAGAGAACTTTGAACGCGATTTTCTCAAAACAGTGTTTTTGTGGTTTGTACACACGATTAAAAAAGTTGTAATTGTCGCATTTGCATAATTATGTATATATAAGTATTTTTTTACATCTAACAGTGTAGGTTTCTATGTGAACCTAAAAATTATCTTAAAATTTCTTAAGAAAAACGCAAAATTTTTTATAAACAGTCGCAAAATAAATAATTTTATACATTTCTTCGAATATCTGAGGTGCACATAGAAGAGCAACTCCTAAGCTACAAAAAGAGTATTCATTTTTATGTTGCAGATGAAAACTACGATCGCTATCGTGTTCACAAAATAGACTCTTGGAGCGAGAAGTGCCACAAACAAATACGAATTGTTATTGCTTAACAGTATCTAATAAAGTGAAAGTAAATTTTTTTTACAAGATTTGTGTATCTATGACCTATTTCAAAAGTACTTGAAACATTTCATACGTAAGGCAACCTAAAACACTGTGCCGAATATCATGCGATTTCCAGCGTTCTAAACCAGGTTCCCCCCTTAATTAAGCTTCAAATACATAGATAACCGATCCCTTTTCCGGAAAGAAATATGCCAACATATTTCAGTTAAAGTTAACCGTAAGTGCGTTTATTTCAAAAAAGTTGGTATTTAGACAACTTCCCTTGGAAGGAGCTTTTCAACACCATTCTCAATTCTACCTCAACACACACAAACAATTTCAATAGAACGGTTTCATTAGTTTGGTATGTCTGAGATGAACAAGTTTTCAACTGCTATGAGCCAACCAGCATTTTAACTAATATATATATACGAACTGGTATTTAACTAGTATGAAGCTGATGCATTGACTGTCAAATTACACCGCTCATAGTGTCCGCTATGTGTCCATGTTAAAAATACCTTTTGCTTACATGAAAAATAGGTGGTAGCTGTACCAGTGATTGTAAGAATGGCATTAACCAGCATTTTTCCCAGCAGTAAATGTCTGCGTAGTTGGGAACTTTAGGGTGTACTTCGATAATAGTATAGATGCTAGGAATTCCATCATATGTCGAAGAGAGGAAACTAATAAAATTCATTATTTTTATTATTAAATTTTCATAATTTTGATATCAACAAGACTATTTCATTTCAAAATTTGTGTGAATATAATTTCATGCTTTTAACACCTGCAACAAGCAGCGGCCCAACAACCCGGGGCGAAATAACACCAAACATTTTCAAATAAACCAAAGATGAAAAAATATACGACAAATGCCAACGAATTTGTGCGAATTTCATTACAAATTAAACAACTAAAATTACTAAATACACTAAATTGAAATTATAATTTATTTAGTAATTTGTTTGTGCAGAAAATTTAGCTTTAAATAAATGAAGTGGATTTGTAATTGATATACAAGAATGTATATGTATTGGTATTTAATGTGAATTTTGATAATAATTTTAAATAGCTAAATACAAAAGTAACAGTATATTATATTACAAACTACAAAATATACATATATTGACGCTTCATGTGCTGAGAGCAGTGGAATTTAGAGGAAAATATTAAAATTGTAATGCTTTATATTTAAACATATATATGCTCGTATGTATGTATTTATATTGTAGTGAATATACATAAATAATATATAAATAATGTTAGCATATAATATGTCTTAACCAACAACGTGTTTGTACTCTCTAATTGTTGTTACGTGCCAAAAAAAAACAAAACAAACAAACCAAATTAACTCAAGCTGAAATTAAACTCGAAAAGATTTTTGGAATATTGTTTTAAAAGTAATAATTATAATATGTAAAATGTACATTTTTAGAATTCATGTAAGCTTTGTTATACATAGAAATACATATATTTAAAACTGCATATATATATAAATATACAAACACAACATATTTGTGGTAATTTAATGAATTCAGCGCTTCAAATAATAGTCAAGAGCCCCATAGTTATGTGTTAAAACCCGAACATACTTGACTTTTTCATCCCTACCAAAAGTCCCGTATGTATGTTTATACTAAAAAAATATGCACTACACATACATTTTTATATAAAATATGTTAAAAAGAATGAAATACGTAAATTAAGTAGCGGAAAACGTAAACAAACCCACAAATAATAATTCAAAATTTCAAATTAAAAACATGCATACATTAAAAATAAAGCGACTATACCGTTAATTGTGCTAAAACCCAAAATGCAATTTACATTTTCAGCCAAACTATTTGTATGTATTTATATTGTACATGTACAAATTTGAAAATAGAATGAATTAAAATAAAAATAACAACAGTCAGCCAATTATTATGTATACATACACAGACATAAACAATACGAACACACACATACGCATATACATACATATATTTACAATATTTAAATGTGTACCATTCAACGTATATATGTATGCATTTGTGTGTGTGAGCGTGTGTAGCCAAAATTTAAACGCATAATTAACTAACTACAAAACATACATATATACATACCTACATACATACATACGATTATATACCGAGTCAAATAAAAAAACACACACACACACATGCTTTCCATTTTACATACATACATACAGACCTATGTACATTATTTACCAAGTTCGTATGAATTGTATATTTAAATATCCCCAAAGACGGCAAGCCATTATATTCTACATGCATACATACTTATATTACGAAAATAAACTGTAATAAATAATTTGTATAAATGTAATATTTTATTATTGTTGTTTGTTGTTTCTATTTTGCACTATTTTTTTTGGCTTATTCCTCCAAAAATGCAATGTTTGCAAAATAAATTAGGTAATATTTTACTGGCAGCAGACAAGGGGCAACTTGCTGATGCCGGCTTCGAAGTGGGTAGGCAAGTTAAGTAGCTATGTAGTCGCGTGTGTGGCCACAACAGATTATAGTTAATTAAAATTTGAAAATAATTAAAGTTGAATTGAAAGTAGATTATGAAAAGTTGATAAATAGTAATAATTGACTTTAAATACTCAGTAAAGGGCAGATCTAGTAAATAAAATACATTTTTTGTCTTTATGATGTTCGCAAAATTATTTGTCAAGTAAAAAGTTCGTTGGTTTTTTTTACATTTCTCCGATTTAAGTCAAATATACACCGTTTCGTTCGTTAAGCCATAGAGAGAGGGCAATTTCATTATAACCCTCTCGTAGAAGGCTGCGTTCCTATTGGCAAAAAGCTCACAGACCTCTCTTGAGTCCCACTTCTCACCATTAAGCGCGTTTGTCATGGACAGGAAAAGATGATAATCACTTGGTGCCAGGTCTGGACTATAGGGTGGAAGCATTAGTATCTCCCATTCGAGCTCCTGGAGCTTCTAGCAAGTCACCAAAGACCTGTGTGATCTGGCGTTGTCCTGATGGAACGCAATTTAACCTCTGTCGATCAAAGATGGCCCCTTCTAGATGAGTGCTGCCCTCTAGCGGTCCATTTGTTGGCAATAGAGGGCCGAATGGAGCGTTTGGCCATAGTGGGTGATTCCATGCCAATTCCCCCAAACACACAGCAAATCCTTCCTTGCTGGCAATAAGGTCTTAGCCACGGTTTTGCCACCGTCTGTGCCGCTTTCCCGAGCTTTGCTCAGACCGTTTGCGCTCGGTGTTGTCGTAAGTGACCCAGTTTTT